TCATAACTATTCATTACAATAAACCATTATAAAATCTAACATTGACGTACTCCTTGTTAGTGAAACTAACAGTATGTTTGCATTCAGTGTTTCACAAAAACACATTAAGGTACAACGAACACACTGAAAACATTTCTTTCCTTATAAAACTTTTGCAAAGCCAATGTTTTTTAAACATTCTTAAACTTTTATCCATGTTTCGAAGCTTGCAGTCTTTTTCTTCCCTGCCTTTGTTGGAGAATTGATGTGCTCCTTGGCATTTAACAACCCCATATAGTGTTAATCAATCAGCATATAGTGCAGCAATAGTGTATAGCAGCAGCTGTGGCTCAGGAGACGGAGCGGGTCGTCCAAGGGCTGGACGATTTCACCTAAAATCAAAATCACGATTAATTGAACATTTTTTTAGCGTCATATTTCACTGACAAGGTTTGTTCCACCATTGTGCAAGACACTTAAACCCTAGTTGCTCCAGAGGCGTGCGACCTCTGACATACTGTATTTAGCAATGTAAGTTGCGTTGGATAAAAGCCAAATGCATAAATGTAATGTAAATATGCTCAACTTTTAAAGCTGGGTTTATTATTCAGATTTCAAATCCATTATCTTGATGTTATTAAATAAGGTAAGGTATTTGACATGCAAATTACAGAGACATGGTTCTCGTATATTCGGCGTATCGGCACTGCTGAATTATGACCGCTGCTACTAAACTTTTACTCAATTATTTAATATCAATGCGGAACAAATAATTTTCACCCGCACACTGTGTGAGTTCGGTAAAACACACTTTGCTAGCTTCCTCTCCTCATTCATCAAAGAACATACATGACAGGTGCTATTGTAAGAGCAGCAGGAGATGGTGGTTTAACTGCAGTGCAATGTGTGTGTGTAGGGAGTGAGTGGACAAGTAAAGGAAAGTACATGAACACACACAATATTACCAGGATTAAATAACTGACATGGGGAAATTATGTCAGTTAGAGGCTCTGCATTTCGGTTTCGATTACTTTTAAATTACTTGTCTTGACCTAGTTCATCCACAAATCAGAGGATCGGTGGTTGGATCTCTCTACTTAACCCAAAAACTGTCCTCTTCCTCGCAATGTCCCCGAGGTGAGGGTGTGTGCAATGGTGCCCACTAGATTCTAGATGAATGTAATGAGCCTCGAAGGTTTGTTTGTTTTTTTTGCTCACTTTGTATCACATGACATTAGTTCATGTAAGTAAGAAAGAAATGCCTGCCTGGTTCACTCACTTACTCACTATGGTACGTTTTTATAAGAATAACTATTTGTAAGTGCTGTAAGTGTGTGTTCAGACGGGGAAGCAGTGATTACAGCCCACACAACTCCTTCCAACAAACAATACAAATCAGCCCCCACACTCTGGTTAAGTTGGTCTCAATTAGCTGTGTCCTTGATATGAAATGCGCGCTCCTCAAAGCCTCATTTATGTGGTGATTGACTGTGCAGCTCATTAAAAAGTGAGTAAACCCACAGAGGGGCAGAGGGGAGCATCTGGATCAACTCCACCACCAGCAGCAGGGATATGGAGCTCTGGCCACTGTAGCGGATTAGAAAACAGCCCTCCCGGCTAATTTAGCAACCCCTCTGCCCAGCAACTCATCTGCACATATTATCTACATCTTTAAAGTGAGGTAAGCAACTTTTAAGTGTGAAGCACAGTCACCTGTGTTGTGGTAAATATGGGAGTGTTATTGTCATCACCTCTTAGTGACATTAGCCAGTTTTACAGTAGTCTGAAAATTGTTCCTAAAAAATCTACTCCATTTAATTTAGGCCAACAGGAAAATCAACTGCTCTTGAAAGACTGCAATTCACAGCCATAACAAAGACACAAAGGCACGCACCAATGTTAACGATGCCCATCTAATGACGGTTTATTTTGATGTAGGTGTGCTGGGCCTCACATCACATAAAGAAGACCATTGATTTTTTGGTAACTTTTTTTTTATTTTGATATAATTAAGCAATTCACTATATTTCTTTTTAAGTAGTCTGTATCTTCAACAACAGAAATAGAAAAAAGACGGAACCATCTGTTTCCAATGGTTGATTAATGGGCATATTTGGACAGTCTATTCATTTTCTAAATTAATTTATCCAGTATAGCGAAGCACGCTAGAGCCTATCCCTGCACACGTTGGGCGGGATGCAGGCAATAAACAATACTAAAACTCTAAAGCACAGACTGCAGGCCCCACACGCTAAACTGCTGACTATATTCAACAATAGGAAAGAAAACATTTAGATCATTTTTAAATATTACAGCACTACCAGTGATAAATCCATAACGCCGTTACAATTTTTCCCTTTAGGACCGTAAATGTGATCTGCCAATTTGAACCTGCCTATTATTGACAATCAAGTGGGAGGGAACAAGTGGAACTTTTGGGCTGATGGTGGTGGTACTACTACAGGGAAGAATTAAGGGGTTTCCAAAAACATTAGGATCCACCCTCTGAGAATTCTGACTCTGACTACATACAGAAAACTTCCTATAAATGCAGTTGAAAGTAGACATTGCAATGATGTATTAAGCCCCCTTGAATTTAACTGACTAAAGCATTGCCCAAGTAAAACTTTGGCCTGATCAGTGCTAGATGAAAGGTCAGGGGGTCATCAAAGTCCTACGCCACCACTGAATCTGGTCCAATAACTGACCCCACCCAACTGTGATCACACATTCAACAGGTCAGTGCAGCACTACTTTCTTTCTATTTCTCCATACAAGACCTAGTGCGGAGTTACTCTTTAAGAATCAGAATTTGGATAACAATGCATATCGGTAATTAATATCCATGGCAGACAAATATTTGTTGCCATATCTTGCTCTGGACTTCAGAGATGGACAAACTGATGGATCAGTCCACCACTATCAAGGGAAAAGCAGTGATGAGCACCAAAGGAGGAAAGAAAATCACAGATTCAGAGAGCCAAGATTTTTTTTATTCTAATAGAATGCACTGGCATCATGTGCCCACTCACCCAAATGTTTTTATCCATTTGTCTTTGTACCTTCCATCCTATCACCACACAGCCTCAACCCTCTAAGTGCTCTGCCACCTCTTATTGTACCTCTCTGGCCCTCCTTTGTTGACGTGCTGCCTCGGTCTCTCTTGTTTACCCCCACCAGCGCCACAGGCCTCAGCTGTTGGCCGATAGTATTCTTGCTGCCAAGGCCCGGGACCACAGGGAGCCCTGGCAGACACACAATCTCACACATATATACATGCACACTCGAACAGCCTTCATCTTCCTCATCTGGCACCCCTAAGGCCAAAAGCTGATACTGTGTTTTGTGCATGTTTGTTGATGAGCATAGCTCCAGCGACAGACTAATAGGCCGGGGATTTTCATTCTTGCTCATTTGGTATTTTGTCCATTATTTTCTCTCTCTCATTTCCCTTGCAGTAATGTTCCTGCACTAATACAAGGTTTGCATTATTGATGAAGCTGCCACCTTCCTCCTCCCCCATCTGTCTGGGCAGAGGGATGGAGGGGTGGAGGAGATGGATGGTAGAGAGAAGGGAAGGTCTGAAGGATTTAGAAAATGGGTGGGTAAATGAATGAGGGGTGTTGGATTATAGACACAGGATGGACGGACGGATGGATGAATGAATGGATGGATGGGGTGTACAGAAGGCTGGATTGTCAGTTTGTCTCCACCCCAGGATGCCAGACAGGCCGTGTAGACAGTGTTTACTGAGCATGAATCCAAGCCATATGGTGCCACTTCACTTCAACACACATTCACTTGCAAACACACACAGCCTTGTCTCACTATCTTTGTGGGGACCTGTCACTGACAAAATGCATTCCCTAGCCCCCTACCCTAACCTTAACCTAATTCTACCCCTAAAACCAATTATCAACCCTCAAACAGCCCTGTATGAGTTCCCCACAAGTACAGAGGGCTTCCGGTTTTTAGTAACAAGGTGGTGAAGGTGCTCAGTAACCTTCAGGGTGATCTGGTGTTTGATTTTGATATGTCTTGTATACAACATCACCATATGGGTCAGGGAAAGAAAAGGTCAAGGGGTGAACTAGTTGTGAAGATATTGTTATCTTGGCCGAAGTGTTTAACAGATGGATGGACCAACAAATCCAAAGCCACCCAAATGCCAAAAAGTAAATTAAACACTGTCCCCCAGAATTGCAGGTCTTTCTCCAAGACTCGCATTACGCTGGGATAAGGCTAAACAATATTTTTATCTTTTGATATCTGTGTCTTATTATACATTCATAGACACAGAGAGACACAACCGATTACACGTTAAAGACCCAAAGTAACCTGCCCAACAACTTGCATGACTTCACCAACAACATTATTCCTCATCATGTCAGCGGAGGGTGGCGGGACTCTCTTTTCTTTCTAACCACCGGTAGAGATTTGGCAATTTCCAAAGTAACCTTTCCAACACTGGTGATATATACTGTTACTGTGATATCAAATTTGGACACAACATATAATGAAGTGACTGACTTCATTTTTTCATAATAAAATTAATTTAACCATGCTATAGCACCAGAGAGGCTAAATAAGGGTGTGTCTAGGGTGTGTGTTCTTCTCTGGCAGTAAAGTGCTGCCTGCGACTTCAAGATGAGTCATCAAAAACATTTTTACATGGAAGAGAACAGAGGAATTGTTTTGAAATAAAAGGGACACATTTTTAACATATTTAGCATGTAACAAGAATTAATTAAGAATTTATCAATTATAATTTAAGAATAAAACTTGCTGCATATGTGCAGATAATGACATTAAATAAAAGCAGATTTGTGAAGATTCTGATCTAACTGTATAAGAGCATTGATAAGTTCAACAGTAACTGCGTAATCTGCCTCCTCTGCCTCCACATCAGAACTGAAGCGCAGTGTCAGAGGGGACATTCAGCATTACTTATAGATTTCACACACACTCTTACATCTAACAGACAGACAAAAAAAAAAAGCATCAGTGTGCAGCCTACTCACCAAAGTCAGCGAGTTTGAGCTCTCCAGTGTCGCTGATGAGCAGGTTTTGCGGTTTCAGGTCGCGGTGAAGGATGTACCTCTGGTGGATGTAGGACAGGCCTCTCAGCAGCTGGAACAGGAAAAGCTAGAAAACACAAGTGAACAAAAGGTGGAGGACTATTTTTTACAGGAGTATATAACTATGACATATCTCTACAAACAACACAGAGAAGACAGACCTTTATCACATGCTGGATGATTTACATGAATATCAGTACCATTGGTCTCTGCCTAAATCTCTCTGTTGTGGAACATTAATCTGAGCAGCTGTTGAGAGCAGAGAGGTGTGGAAAAACTCATCCATCACTAAGGAAGGGCTGTGGCTTCATCCCAGTCTAAATGGGAATAGGCATGAACCCCACATGTTATTTACAAATAGCTCGATGAAATGCTGTCTCGCTCACAAAGACACACACCAAAATCAATAGTGAGTCATCAGTCAAGAACACATACATCATTTCCTCCACTTGGACTATTGAGCAGTGATCAAACAGATGAGTCGTTACAATGACCTGTCTGATTACGTAGCTGAATCACTGGGAACTGCTGCATTGACTGGTCAAGTAGTAAATTAAACTGTCTATTCGTGCTTCACAATAACCTCTTCAGGCCATGAACTGTGACTTCTGATATATTTGATTGATTTTGCTTGGGGTTGAATTTAGATTATGAGGGCGTGTGAAAAGAAAAGAGAAAAAGTGACAGCAGAAATGTATGAGGGTGATGACAGATTTAGCTGAAGTCCCACCAAACATGTGGAGCTGGGCGGGGCTGCTGCCTCCTTTTCATTTTCTGTGAAGGTCAGCGAATCGATTGCACAGACCATGACAGGACTGCTGACAGCAGGGGGCAGGAAGGCAGTACGGCAAAAAAGATCCAGATAGGTTGGAAAAAGACACATTTTCGCCCCTCACCAAATAATATTTGTTTTTTGGTGCATTCTGAAGTCAACTAACAACTGGAATTCAATGCAGTGTCACATTGCCTGATCTTTACCCGTCTATTTTCTAAGATAAATCAGTATAAACTACAGAACTTGCCAGAAGTGGAATATGATTTTTATTTTTTGTTTAATTTTTATATGAAAACTGGATGGATGAAGGACTATGTGTAATGTGAAAGGAGCTGTTGGTAGTGACCTAGCGCTGGCCACTACTTTAACGATGGCGCAATGGACTTTCTGTAAGAGACTATGCCTTTGGTGTGAGAGACCCGGGTTCAACTCCCCACTATGACCCATCCACCATTGTGTCCCTGAGCAAGACACTTAACCCCTAGTTGCTCCAGAGGCGTGCGACCTCTGATATATGTAGCAATTGTAAGTCGCTTTGGATAAAAGCGTTAGCTAAATGAGTAAATGTAACTTATCAGAGGGAAAGAACACAACTCCAAATCAATACTAATGTTGCTCCGTGTCAGCTAGATGTGTAAATTACTCTGTTGCTGCTGCTAGTGGTCTGTGTAACTGTGACCGGAGGGCTCTGTGGGCGTAGCTGGCTGGCTGGCTGGCTGGCACCGCTAACCTCGCAGGAGCTTGTGGAGCTTCTCAACCCCAAAAATGTTTGAGCACATTTTGGATTTGCCATCAACTTTCGTAAAACTGACAAAACACAGCAGCAGAGGAAAGGCCACAACTGTAAGATAGTTTAAATGTCCGTACCGCTGTTATTCTGTTGTTACAATCTGAGTAATGGTTTAACATTTTAAAGTAAATCAAGAAACTTCTGACTCATGATGTAGCCTAGAGAACATTCTCCACTTATTAAACTTATAAGCAATTTGGAAAAATACAGTAAAACTACAGAAGTAGTATAAAAGGGGGCTGTTTCTTTATTATTATAAATAGACATTACATTGTTAGTGAACAGTTGTGGTTATAGTACTGTGCTTTTTACCTACTATGTCAATGTTGACAGTGTTTACAGCTTCTTGCACTGCCCCCAAGTGGCCAGAAAAATATCGCAATCCAGCTACAACTCCCTGACATTATACCAGTACTCTTAGGCATGATATCCACTCTCGTCTGATATTCTATTTACAGTTTGGTAGCCATTTTCTATCCATTCTCATGGCCTGTTGGGTTGGTGAGGTTTAATCTAAGACAGTTTTGGACTTGTAGAAAATGGTGTTCATTAAAGGCTATTAACGCACAGAGTGACCCACACAACAAAATGTGAGCATGGTTATGTCATAGAGCGGAATTTTTACTATTTAGTAGTTATTTCAATGTAATTCAATTTTACATTGAATTTTACTTTTTTACTTCTGGAACAGAAACCCAGATGTTCCAGTTTCACTTTGTCTCTGTTTGTCAGCACAACTTTTGTGTACTTCATGCTCATTTGAGCTTATCAGGAAAGTAATTCACTTGCAAAAACAACTACTGCGGTTCCTTAAAACAACTCAAGTAATTTAAAAGAAAGCAACACAAAAAAGACTGACAAATATAATAACAGCAAACGCATGAAAATGCATGGATGCACTTTTGTGGAGGTATCATATGAATAAAGATTAAATTTCATTTAAATTTATTTTATATATTAGCCAATTATCTTTCTGCTGAAATTAAACACAGCTCTTCCACCTGCCTAAGGAGCTCAAAACGAAAACTGCATCCACAAAACAAATGAGTTTTTAATAAATGCCTTCTGTTTAAAGTGTATCTGCTGTTCAAGAAATAAACAAAATCCTTATATGTACATAAAGTCAGAGCTACATTAAACTTTTGTTTTGCCGACATGTCAATCAACAAATAACGAGTTGTATAAGATCCAGAGTTCAGTTTTATTCAAATTCCAGCATTCGCCTCTCATTTCTCTCTTCTCACTTATACTATAGTCTCAGCCAATTAAGCTGATTGAAGCACCGTGGCGCCCAATCAAGGACGGGCCCTGTCTGGTATCTGGAGTCACCGGGTCAACAATTGCACTCGGCGGGTGAGAGATGAACTGTGGTGCACAGAATTAGCATGGGAAATGTGTGTTTACTCATGTATATCAAACACACTCCTGAAAAGCCCTCAGCTTGTTAGGAGTGCAACTGCGCGGTAATAAAAAGAAAGAAAAAAAACACACTTTTGTTCTCTTCAGTCAGCTTTTCAATCCGAACATCAAACCTTTCTTAAAAGAAGCCTTTTTTTTCCTGTGGCTTCAACTGAAACAGCTCAGTTCCATTTGCATTCTAATGTGTGGAAAAGTGAGGTGTAGAGAGATAATAATAATAATACTGTGTGCTCTTCTCAAGATGGCCACTTTACAAGTGAAATAATGCAGGCCCAGTCAATAACTGGCTAAATATTAAACTCCTGCACACTTGAAATGAAAAGGAGGTTTATGATACTTTTTTTTTTTTTAACAGGCTCAGCTTGGTCAGTGGTGAACATTTGGCTTGTTGGCACTGTAGACATCTGCTTGCCAGACAAGCTCACCCAACCATACTAAGTGACTATGAGATGTCCATCTGGGTAAATGTATTGAAAGGAACCCTGCAGTCAAAGGTGTCCCTGCACCAATTAACCACCAGAGCAAGCTGGAAAATAAAGACAGAACAAGGTGACAGAGACAAACAGAATGTGAAAAATGAATAATATAAAAAGGTGAAAATATAATCACCTGCAGGAAAGGTGGTAGTGGAACAGTGGGAAATAAAATATCTAGAAGCAACAACAAGAGTGGTCACTTTGATCACACTGAGTGAATGTGGATCATAAGTATACAATTTATTTTGATGTTTAATAATAACCAGAATGTTCTTTAACAAAGAAACACACAAATCTACTTGTTGATTCCTCAGTACTACAGGGTTATTTCATGACCAAGAAGATTGTGATGCCTGATGGCAGTAGATGCTCTTTCTAACTCAACACCTCACAGAAGTCATCAACTGTTGTCACATGCTGATCTGTATTTTTGAGACGGCACCATGTCTAACTTCACCCGGACATTAGCTGCATGGTAACATAATTCTAAGCTCAGTGATTGGATGTTTCTTATTGCAGTGTGCTCTGGGAGCTGGCTTCCCTTCCAAAGTTGTAAGGTACACAGAGTTGTATTTTTGACTTTTAGCACTTTTTCATCAGGCAGTGTCTCATGTTTGTACTCTAGAATTTAATGCCCATCTTATTGATGGAAATTCTCTGATGGCCCTTCATCACCTAACATTACTTATTAGACAAAAGAACCCTGTTCAGCTGCAGTCTAAAGAACACCACCTTTACAGCAGATATGGCCAACAACAAGTTGTATAGTTCTTTTATTGAAGAGAAAACCCCTGCAGAATGTCTAGTGTACGTGTGCATGAGTATGAGAGAGTCTTTGTTTAATCATGATGTATTATTAGTTCATTACTGCAGGAGAAATAAACCGTGTGATTGTAGTTAAATCAGATATTAACATAATCTATCACCTGAGGAGTGACCCTCCTACATGAAAAACAATCCATCATCAGCACACCAATAAACACACTGCCATTTTTCTAATGATGAAATACTTATTGCCATGATACCCAGGGCAAGCAGAACTCTCCATCAAGATAAGCATTATGAAAATTGTGTGGATTGGAGGGGCTCTGTGTTTATATCTGTAGAATGTGGTGGAATTTGGCTCTTTTGTCTGATATTCAATGTGCAGCAAAGCATCAGGCAATGTATCAAAGTGACAGCTGCACACTGGGGTTCATATAGTTTCACTAGGACAAATACAAAGTTAAACAGAACACAGGAGGAGAATAAAGATCCAGTGTTTCATTGTGATGTTAATGTGGAACACACGAGAAACTAACAAGTTTCAAGATATCTACAAAAAGATTGACTGACAAATCTAAAGATATTAAATCCTACAAGTGGCAGTATAATCCTGTCCTCACCAGAAAAACGGCCATATAGGATAATTATGCAGCACTTTGTTAAAACACATATTTACATTTATTGTTAGGCCTCTAGTGGCCGTATGACAGCAGCAAAGGAGGATGTCAGGCGACATAGCATCAACAGGACAGACCGAGGATCAAGTCCCATGTGAAACCAAGTCAACGTTAAGTTATTTAAAGTTTCAAGTTAAATAAAGTAAGTCAGTTACGTAACATAGT